AACTCCCAAGGAAAGTGGCCACCTGGTTCACGAGATTGACTTTCTTTTTGCCAATTTCTTGGTTATTCCCTTTAATTAGTTCTACAAAATTGATTTGGTCACAGGTAGTTACATGGAAATTTCTTTGGGAGGATAAAGTAGAAGACTAGAATAAAATAGGAGTCAACGGTTTTTGGAGTCTCATGTTCTTAAAGCCATAGCCATTGACCAAGACTCTAAAGTTGCTGCATGCAACCAGTTGAACCATCGTTGCATTTACATATTGCGCTTGATACCCCACCCCAAGAAAGTGGAACTCCTTTTTATGTACAAATTCTATAATATTCCAGCTTTCTTACATTTCTGAATTTGCTAGTTTTGGTTGTGGCTTTGTTATGTGTTGTGTTTGGCTGGTTTCCACATTCCAGGGTGGCCTTAAACTTGACAACTATTGTTATCAATTTCATGCTTTTAATGTTAAATAATAATTGTTAATTATTATACAAATAAATAATTATATTAATTACACCTGACTCTAGAGATCCACTGATATTAGCCAATCAACCAGTGCATTTCTATTTTTCTTGAGCATGTTTCGAATCTATCCCTTGCCAAAATGTTCAAAAAATAATAATAATATTAATTAATATCTATTATCTATTATTTATTACATGTTTTTTATTATTCATTACCGGTCAAATTTTAACAATCATGTTAAACAAGCTCTTAAGTGTAATAGGTATGAAACTGATCACCTGTGATTCTCTCTCCAGTAAAAACTAAATAATATGATTTTATAATTTATTTTTATTTATTTCAAGATTTAAATTTTAAAATTTCTAATATAAAAACTTAAATTTACTACTAGAAAAAGCTTTATTTCGGATAAAATATTTCAGATAAGAAAATATATTGATCCAAAAAAGACTTAATTTGGTTAAATTTTTTGACCAAAATATACTTTAATCCGATTAAAAAGTATTTAACATAATAATTTGGTCTAAAGTTTTTTCGGTCAAATATATTGACCGAAATAAAAGAGCGCAAATTGGCCCTGTCATTAACTCGATCAAGTATTTTATTCCAATTATATTAATAATAAAATAATAAACATTTCGATAATAAATTTTGACTGAATTAATTAATTTTTGTTCTAATTTAATTATATTTTTTGGTCAAAATTTTGACCAAAATAATTGTCTCTTTTAAAAAAAATTGTATTAGTATGATGCTTTCTTTTTAAATTTTTTTTTAATTTTCTATAAAACTATTTCGGTCAAGCATCTTGACCAAAATAATTGTTTCTTTCTTTTTTTTTTTAATTCTATTAGTATGATGCTTTTTTTAGTAAATTTTTTAAATTTTCTATGAAACTATTTCGATCAAGAGACTTGACCGAATAACTGTCTTCTTTTTTTAAAAAAAAATTGTATTAGTATGACAGTTTCTTTTCCTAAATTTTTTTAATTTTCTATAAAAACTACTTCGGTTAAGCATCTTGACCGAAATAATTGTCTCATTTTTTCTAATTCTATTAGTATGATGCTTTATTTAGTAAAATTTTTAAATTTTCTATGAAACTATTTTGGTCAAGAGACTTGACCGAAATATCTGTATTCCTTTTTTCTAGAAAAAAAAATTGTATTAATATGACGTTTTCTTTTCCTAAATTTTTTAAATTTTCTATGAAACTATTTCGGTTAATAGGCTTGATCGAAATGATGTTGTTTGGCTCCAAGAATAAAGTGAAAATTCTTGAACTTTCTGCCAAAATTATTTCTGTCAAAACATTTATCCAAAATTAGATGTTTTGACTCCACAAATCAAGTGAAAATATTTTAAATATTCTGTCAAAACTATTTCGATCAAAACATTTATCCGAAATTAGATGTTTTGGCTCCACAATTCAAGTGAAAACATTTTAAATACTCTGCCAAAACTATTTTGGTCAAAATTATTATTCAAAATTAGACTTTTTTTTCTCTAAAATCATGTGAAATGTCTTGAATTTTTTTATGAAAACTATTTCAGTCAAACTTCTTAACCGAAATTATTTAAACACTATATAAACACTTTACGCACTTGAAATTGTATTTTACCCATTTCTTTCTTTCTTTCTTCTTTTCCCTTCTTCCACCTTCTACACTCATCTTTCTCTTCCTTTTAATTACTTCCCCTCCTCATTTCTCTTTATTTTCATCATTTTCTTTCATTTCCTCCTTTTTCTCATCTTCTCTTTTCTTTAGTTTCCCTTTTCTTTCATTTATTCCCCTCATCCTCTCTTCCATTTTCTCACATTCTCTTTTCTTCATACATTCCTTCCTTTAATTTCATCTCCTTTAATTTCTTTCATTTTCTATCTTCCTTTAATTTTAATTTTATTAGTTTATTTCTTTTACAATTTACAAGTTTCTTTCTATTAATAATCATATCAATTTTATTTTTGCAAGATTTTATAATAGTAATTAAAGGCATTTTAAGGAGGCATCTCATTTGGTACTTTTATTTTTTATATTTCATTAAAATGTTATAAATTTTTCTTTTTCATAAGTTTCCCATTTAGTTTGTAATTTGTGGTTAACTCTTTCTTGGTGTTAAAGGATGGAGAGACTAAAAAAAAA